AAGGTTTTAACTTTAACATAGTAAAATCACATATAATGACCAGTTATAAAGCAAGAATTACAGTTACAATATCTAGTCTATTTTTATTTTGTAAAATTAAAGAAAATATTCTATCTATCATATATTTGTGATTCTAAATTTTCGTATCTACCTTATCTTTTATCATACCTAAGGAAAATTATAACTATCTAGTCTTCAACTACATCAAAGATGCCAGAAGGATATATTACCTAAGTAAACAGGAGATGCATTGTAAGCAACTTCCAAAAATCTAGAATGACAGAGACAGCTGGCTGTTTGGACAATCACTCAAAGTTCCTCTGCAATGCTGGGGCATCTATTTGCAGTGTTGGGGCATCCTATAAGCCTAGAATTTTTTAGTCACTTCTCCGTGTGTCCTGAGAATATCTGGTGGTCTCCTCTGTGAAGCAGGAACCTGAAGGACCATCCTGCCTTGCAAAGTTCAGTGGTCACCTTCCTATGGGTCCTGCATGTCCAGTTGATACATTTTGTCAAGCAGTCCAGGCAAGAACAGTTTCTTGCCCAGATGGCTATTTTGCCAAGCAGAAAATAAATAAACTCCATATGGAGTGTCTTCAATACCCATCTTTCTCTTTGAAGTAAATTGGTGTTGCCAGGGGCAAATGTGTCTCACTGTCCAGAAAGTCTGTTTTTAAAACATTTTAAATGCCATATTCTGTAGGTCTTTGAAGTGTTTGAAGATCATCTACCTAACTGAAATATATTTAGGCATACCTAGAAAACTTAACTAACATGACTATAAGTATGATTATCATAGACAATTAACTATTAATCTGTATTTCTTAATTATCCATTACAATTTAAATAAGTTACACAAACATAACACCTTAAAGGAGAGTAGAAATGTACATACAATATAACAAAATTAACTTTAAATTTGTATCAATAAACTAAAATTCATAGCAATGTAAAACATTTAAAACAAGCTGTTGTTCTTTAAAAGTAGATTCAACAATTTACCCTTTTATCCTATTATATCTATATCCTATCTATATCATATCCCCCTTTCTTCTTTTAGAAAGAGGTTGACTATGACCAATAACAATTTGTAACCAACAATCTAAACAAAGACAAACATCCATAATCTATTTTTTTGGGAATGTGGGTGTAGTGTTCTAGGCTACTTCCTGCTAATAGGGGGAAGGTAGTCTTATGAGGATCCTGAGAAACTTTGAGATAATGGTCAAGTCCTGGGAAGACTGGCTATAACCTTTGTTGATAGGTACCATCTGTTAAGGTTCAGAAGTTCTGGCTTGATCAAATCTGATCCATCTTAGCCTGAAACAAATCCATAGCCTCTTGCTTCTTGTGGAAACAAAAACAGAGCCTCCTTTCCAAAGCAACATATCCTTAGATCTAAATTTTGAAGTCAAAATACCTTTAAAATATACATATTGGTTTAACTTAGCAGCCTTTACAATCAAATGTCTTTCTGCAGTTAAAAATATCAAAGACAACAGAATCCAGATTATCTGTGTAATATCCATCTTTATGTGGCTTATTTTTTATACTACATTTACTGACTCTGTAAAGACTTTATTTTTTAAAACTATTTGTAAGTAAATTGGTTGCAATTCTGTGGGTTTGATCCCAGGTTTTTAGCACCAACAATGTAAGTAAATTTGTTACAATAACTCTGGGGAAAGGTGTCCTGACTACCTGGGGAGTCAGGCAACACTTTGAACTTCTTAGAACAGCTCTGATGGCTGGAACTGCAAAGAAGCAGTCCAACCCTGGAAGGGAAATTTTTCTGACTGTTTGGGAGAGTCAGACCTGGAACTGCTTAAGCAGGGAAAGGTATCCTGACTGTTCTGGAAAGTCAAGGTATACCTAATGTGATGGGGGATGGTCTCCCTGCAGGATATAGCATTCCTGCTCCTCTCCTGGAAAGCCTCTACAGCTGAGCTTTGCTCAGCCCCCACTTAAGGGGGCTTCCTAGCAGAGCTCTGCTTCTCTAGTCTAAGATGTTGCTTCTTTCACTTCACTCTGCAAAGGGGGAAACCCCTGCAGAAATGTAGCAGTCTGCTCCAGCTCCAGAGAAAAGTTTTACTTTTTCAGCTCTCCTTGCTTTGCCCACTGAGGGACCTCTCAGCAAAGATGTTCTGTTCAGCTCCTCCTTGATCTGCTCTCTCAGCTCTCCCTTGTTTTGTCCACTGAGGGATGCTTCAGTAAGGATCTTCTCTACACCAGTGAATGAAGATCTTCACACCCAAAACTCTTTTGAGAAAGAGATTTATTTGGGAAGGAGGAGTCCAGGAAAGTAGTTGCCTCTACCAGGGTGGAAAGAACAGCTTTTTCTCTAACTGATTAGGCAGGGTGGTTTACACATAATGTCTTGGGGGTGGAGTCAACCAGGGGTTGACTTGGGGCCCAGAGTTCTGCTGTCCTGCTCTGTGATTGGTTGGTTTCACAAGTCTGCCTGGGGCAGAGATGACTCTCATCTGACTGAGTCAAACTGTGTTTCTTTGTGCCCTGATCTAGCCATCTTTCCCTAGTGCTGGGTTCCAAGGTCCAGCTAGGTTTCTTTAGTCAGCCCCTTGTCCCTTCGCTATTTCTTTATATAACTGTCTATATTCATTTTCTTCTCTCTTCCAAGCCTATGTACATTTTTACACACACTGTAAAACATTTAGTCTTGTTCCATCTGAATTTACCTTACTGTGAATCTATTGCTTTAAACTGCAGCATTACTAGGACTGAAAGGGCAGCTTTGGCTGCTGACTCTGCCCACCTCAGTGTATGTGGTAGGATGGATTTCTATAAGCTCCAAAGGGGAGCAGAGATATAATGCAGTGGCCCAGATTGGCTTAGAGAAGCTGCAGGATTGCAGGCAGCTCCTAGGGGGAAATGAGAGGAAGCTCAAGGAAGGAGATGAGAGCAAAGGGAAGTATTTTGGTGACACGAATTTCAATCCTGTATCCCCAAGTGGACTAAAAGACTTGCCCCAAATTACAAGGGAAAGGTGTCCCTTTCCACATGACTGTGGGCCCAGTAGTAATAGTAGACAAAGCAGGTAGCTCCAGCAGGTTATTTAGCCAGTAGAGGAGGAGAGGAGAAAAAGAGAGATGCCCACATAGGCACAGATGCACAGAAGGATGTCGTCATAACTCCAGGAGTCAGGGAGATACTTACCAAGTAATCAAGGAGAGTCAGATAGTTAGAGCAGGTGGAGGAAAGAGCAGCTGAAGAATTGGACTCTAGAATCTGGAGCCAAATATGGTGGGTGGTAGAAGCCAGCAAGAACAAATGATCCACACATACTTTAGGAGAGTCAAATCAGCTGCTTGGTTTGGTGAGGCCAGGTCCCTCAGAACATAACTCATTTATGCTACCCCTATGGTTTCCACACCATATGAATGAAAATAAAATGGAGATATGACTGCTTCAAGGTATGGTTTGCGGAGAATGCTTATTGTATATATGAGGAAGAGAACAGCCAGAGGCATCTGGGACAGTTTAGACTGAACATGGCCAGCAGACTGCCAGACCATGCTTGGAAGTGTGAGGCGGGGGATGAGGAATAAGAGAGGGGAGCAAGTGGACCAAGAGAGATCCAAGAACAGAGCCAGCTAGGAACCAAGAGGCCAAGAGATGGGGTATCCAAAATGATTGTGCTATATAGGGATTAAAAGCTGAGGGAATGGGAAGCAGAAGACCAGTACTTGGGAAGAAGAGGTTTAGGGTAGTGGGTGAGAGTGAACAGTGCTAGTGAGGAGCAACAGGTACTGAGTGATATTGGGAGAGCTGGCCAATGTCTGCTTTGATATGTTAGTAGGCACCTCACCCATTTGTCTTGGGTTTCTTTGAGACCTACCAGTGTGGAGTTGGAAAAAAGAAAGAAAGAAAGACAAAACAAATTAGAACATTACTGTTGCTTATTTTTTTTTCTGAGTAACCTCATAATAGGGACGTAACTTTTTCCCATTTGATTAATTTTTCTGCCATTTAAACTTTGCCTTGAAATGTCTTTCCTAAGTAGATCCAATTTCTTCTTTTCTAGAGTTCTACTATTTTTAGATTATAATATAATATAATTATGTACTTTGCCTACTGTATTTCCTCCCTCCATACTTCCTCTTATACCCCTCCTCCTTGCTCTCTTTCAAACTCATGACGTTTTTTATTATTAATTGTACACACACACACACACACACACACACACACACACACACACATAAACACAAATTGCTCAGTTTGTATAATGTTACTTATATTTAAGTGTTTTCAGGGCTGACCATTCATTATTGGATAACAATAATGTGTGCTCTTCCATGGAGAATACTATTTCTCTTGCTTTCAGAATTCCTTATTTGCTTTTTTTTTTTTTTTTTGTAGAGTTGAGGCCTCCTGAACTTTCTGCATGACAACAGAAGCATGTCTGTTTTGTTTTTGTTCAGCTAGTATTTATTTATTTATTTACTTATTAGTTTTTTCGAGGCAGGGTTTCTCTGTGTAGTTGTGGTGCCTGTCCTGGATCTCACTCTGTAGACCAGGCTGGCCTCGAATTTACATACAGCCGCCTGACTGCCTCCCGAGTGCTGGGATTAAAGGCGTATGCCACCACTACTGGCTCAGCTCAAATTTAGACCGTCATGCTAGTGAGACTTTATGGGTGTGGTTTCTGACACTTAGATACAATCCCTAGTAAGCTCCCCATTGCCCTGCCAACATTTTCTTTGCAGAGTTCTGAGCCTTAGTTGCAGGAACTGTGTCGTAGGTGGCAGTTGACACTGGACTTCACAGCTCTGCATTTTGATTGGTTGTGGTTTTCTGTAATGGTCTCCATCTTTTCCAAGTTTATCTGTGGGTATAAGGTCAAATCCTCAGCATGTAGTTAGGTAGTGTGCTGGTTTAGTAACGTGGCAGTTGTAATGCTCCTCCAATCATTACTTTTCACCCACATAAAGCAGCCGAATTATCTGTTCCATATAGCAGTTTACAGGCACTTCGCCAGGAAAGTGTAAACAAAGATTTTGGGCGGGAGAAGGGATTGTGGGAGCGCTGTGGTAGCCCCGTGGACTCATGGGAAATGTAGTGCGATTGTCTGCAACATGGCGGCTCCCAGGTGAGGCAGTTTTAGAATGCTTGCATAAACTCTCTAGGCTGCAGCGGGGCTGGCTGGTAATAGAGAAAGCATCTGGGAGGTGAAAACCTCTGATGAGGAGAGACAGGAGTGTATGGTGCCTGTTTTTAGCGGTGACGGAGGGTCGCAAACCATAGCTTACGCCTTGTAGCTCCTTTTCTGTTGTCCTGGCCAGCGTGGTCCGACCCAGGCCGCTCAGGGTGCAGTCTATGGACGGAGGGATGTCGAGGTGTTGGGAACCCTGATAGGGTCTAGTGTTCATTTGCGTGGTGTGGTATGGGTTTCCAGGGGTGTCTGTGTTAGCTCCTATTGTGGTGGGAGATCTGCACTTGATTCTAGTTTCTTTCCAGCCAGCATCAATTCTGTGAAACAAAAGCATGCTAGTGGCTGTTTGTCCACGCATCTGCGTCTTATACTCTTCTTTGATCAGTCCTTCTTCCTCTGGGGTGGAGGTGATGTCAGCCTGTGGTTTTGGTTGATTTCATTGAACATTTGTTGCAAGCTGTATGCCAGGTATCCAAGACTGTGTAGGTGACAGTCTTGGTCCAACACATTCAGGTAATTTGGGATACACATCCGGTGTTGTGGAAATCGTTGAAGATGGCTGCCAAAATCAGAATTCTGGAGAAGTTTAGGAACTAAAATGGAAAATTCTACTTAGGTTCATTTATTTATTTTTTTAAAATTTAATCAGTTGCTACTGGGTATCACATCCTGTTCAAGTGCTAAGTGCTGAGTACTACCCAGTGAATAATACTAAATCACTGCTTTAGCGGTTTTCTCTGCACTTTTTGGAAAAGATAATAAATGGCAAGTGGAAGGAAAAACAACATAGAAGAATGTGTAATTCAGAAAGTTAGAAAGGGGTGTGATAAATAACGGGGTGATTTTTTTTCCTAATCACTCAAACATTTCTGTGTTCTTTTTAAATAGATAATGCAATTTGAATAGCTTATAAATTCAAAAGCCAGAGAAGACTATCCTTTACTTATCTACCTATTTCGCTTTCCTGGAGCCAACTCATATCACTGATTTCTCATATTTTAAAAACATGTATGTGAAACCTTGTTTGATAGGAATTTAGATTTGTTCTTTCTAGTGTTTGCTAATAAGTATGTTACGCACGATCAGAAGATTCACTTTATCTGTGTTGCTTGATAAGCTTTTTTTAAAGGATTATTTTTATTTTATGTATATGTGTATTGCCTGCATGTGTATTTGTGCACCGCTTGCGTGCCTGGTGCCCAAGGAGGCCAGAAGAGAGTCAGATCTCCTGGAACTTGAATGGTTGTGAGCCACCATGTGGGTGCTAGGACTTGAATCCAGGTTCCCTGGAAGAGCTGTCAGTGTTTATAACCACTCAGCCATCTCTCTAGGCATGGCTGTTTTTTAACTCAGGCATGGACATAGTAAAGTTGCTACTTAGGGTAGTATCCAACAAGATATACTGAGAGTTAGCTAGTAACAGAGCCTTTATGTCTCTGTACTAACAGAGAACATGCTCAGGCTGGAGGTAACTGAACTAGTGTCATAGCTAATATGCTAGTGACCTTACTCCTGTCACATGTAAGGTGCATCTAAGCAACTGTTCAGTGATCTGGACTCCTTTCTTCTTTACATCTGAGTAATCACCAAGACCTGTTGATCATGTGGAACGATTCTTTCCTCCCTTCCTTCTCACTGTTTCCTTTCCTTCTATGCCTCCAATGTAATCAGGTCAGCATTTCTGCTTGGCACAGGTGGAATATTGCAGGTCTTCTCATTACTGTCCTACTGTGTTGTCCAACCGGCCTGCCTTACTCGCTTTACCTCCTAACATGTGCTCTGTGTGCTAGGAAAATGAACTAATGCCATTTTTCTTCTGTCCTTAAATTAAGTCTAGTAATTAGAGTTTTGAATGTACCCCAGTTATTTTGAAATTTAATTTTTTTTTTTTTTTTTTTTTTTTTTTTTTTTTTTTTTGGTTTTCGAGACAGGGTTTCTCTGTGTAGCTTTGCGCCTTTCCTGGAACTCGCTTTGGAGACCAGGCTGGCCTCGAACTCACAAAGATCCGCCTGCCTCTGCCTCCCGAGTGCTGGGATTAAAGGCGTGCGCCACCACCGCCCGGCTTTGAAATTTAATTTTATTTATTTCATTTGTTAACTTTGAAGTTTGTAGCATTGAACTAGAGGTTCAGTAAACATTTGCTGCTCTAAAAAATTATGCCAGCTGGTGTTGATGTTACACATTTGTAATCCAGGCACACAAAGGTAGGAGAGCCTTTGTGAGTCTGAAGTCAGCTAGGGCTGCATAGTGAATAACTGTCTTAATAAACAAAAAATATCCATAAACTGGGCTTGTGGGGTGCACACCTGCTATGCCAGGTGTATCAGAAGTTCAAGATCATCCTCAGCCTTGTAGCAAGTTGGAGGCCAGTCTGGGATATGTGAGATCCTGTTTCAAAAGAACAACAAAACAAGAAAAGAAAAAAAAAACCTCTCAAATTATACTTATATTTCACTACTGTTGGTGGACATTTCTGTTTACCCTTTGCCTTTTATTACCTCACTGAATACCTTTCTAAAAATATCTTTATGTTGTTCTGATCCTTCTAATTTGAAATTTTCCAAATTTCTTTCAATTAGCATTGATTTTTTTGTTTGTTTTGGTCTGTAGTTATGCCACAAGCAACAGCAATTCTATTAGCAGTTAATTATATGAAGATATGTCATATTTTTTTTCATTTTTTTGTTATGTGTTTGTTTTGCTGAACTAACTTAGAAGTTCATACAAAGCCATGCAATGTGTTATAGTTGTATGGTCAGGGGACTGAGGCCATAATAGGCATACATGCTTACTCACTTAATATTTATTTATTCTTTCCATATATTTCCTGGGGATGTACTGTATGCTGGCATTTCTGCTCTCCCAGAGTTTATATTGCGGTGGAGTACTTAAGCTAACAGATGAATTGTCAAGAATTTGTGTTATGTTCTTTTTATTTGTTTCACTTTTCTAGGTTGTTGAAACTTAAGTTTTTTACAAAACACAAATTTTTATAAACTATTGAATATATGAATAACATAATTGATCCTTCAGAACTTTTAAGGCTATGCTTTTTATACTTTTTTTCTTTATAGTATTACTGTGAACATCAATCATAAAGGTGGCTTAAAACTGAATAAAATCGAGAAGAAGTTCTTAAGGAAACAGAGTAAAGCCAGGCATGTGTTGCTGAAACATGAAGGCATCCAGGCAGTGTCTTATCCCACCCAGGTGACCTTAAAGTGTTATTGTCATTTTCATGTAGCTGTATCAATATTGTAATGTATTATGTTAATATTGTAAAATATAGCTCAAAGCTGTAATTATTCAATGATATATTATACCCATATTAAATATACATGGAATAGGATGTGCTAGTTTTCCATTTGTATGGTAGCCTAGTCTGTAGTTTGAATTCATGTTGTTAGTGTGGGTTGAAATAGAGTGGTTCTCAAACTATAGGTCACAACCATAGGAAAAGAGATGTTTCCAATGGTCTTAGGAACCCCCAACCATAAATTTATTTTCATTGCCACTTTTTAACTGTGATTTTGCCACTAAGTGATGTCTGAGTTCCTAAGACCATCGAAGTATGGGTTTTCCAATGGTCATGACCGACAGATTGAGAACCACTGAACTAGAGCATATTGCAATTATATATTAATAATAACATTGTATAAATCTTTTTATTTGATACAGAAAATTTGACATTCATTATTGTGTTTAATTCTCTAAAAGTCTATATGAGCTGCATGAGAAAACTGTCATCTTGAGAGGTTAATTTTCCTTAATATAAACTAGTAAGTGGTTGAATAGATATTTGAAGGTAAATCTTCTATAGCTTCATATAATCTTTTTTCTTTTCTTACCTTTCCTATGTTACAAAGTATTTTGGTTATATAATATAAACTCTTTTCATTAGTCCTAATTTACAAAATCTTTTCATGTCTGTTGGAAATTATTAAGTAACATGATATGAGCTACTGGGAGGTTTCCTGGGCTTTAAATTATAACTCATTGTAACTCACTTCTCTCCTTATTTAGATATGAGCATTACTTTTGACCTTGACTTTAATTTCTAAGCTGGGCGTAGTATAGCATACCTAAAACTCATGCTAAAAACTCTCAGGGATAAATCTAGTTGTCTTTTATTTGCTAGTGGAGTGACTTATGGCTTCTGAGTAACCTCTGACTACTGGATGTATGATTAGAGAGTTGGACCTTAGCCACATTTTCTCTGGGGAAGGGAAGTGTAGTTGATTACTATGTTAGTTTCTTTTATTATCACTGCAACAGAATATCTGACAAAATAAGGAGAAAGGAAAAAAAATTATCACAATTTAGAAACTACAGTCCATTATAGCAGAAAAGGCATTATTGCAGTACTGGCTCCTATGGCCTTAGGCATGTGACATGGCTGGTAATCTTCAAATGACAGACAGGTGGCTAGAGAAGAAACTAGGCGGGGCTACAACCTACAAGCCCTACCTGTACAATATCAGCCAGCTAGGCTACATATAATCATAACCTCCTCAAACAGTGCATCGAATGAGGATAAGGTTTCCAAACACTTGATTACTGTAGGGGACGTCTCACATACAAACCATAACAACCGGTGGCCCATAATGTATTCAGTCATGCCTGTGTGGAAGGTGCCATAAAACCCTAAAAAGACAGAATTGAGAGCTTCTGGATATTGGAGCCTGTGGAATCTGCTGGAGATTGGTGGTGTCCTCAGGGTGGGCAGTGAATTTCTGACTTTTGATAACTTGTATAATGAATGAGTGGTCTGGATATTGGAGCATGTGGAATCTGCTGAAGGGTCATATCCTCAGGGTGCAGTGAATTTCTGACTTTTGATAACTTGTATAATGAATGAGTGGTCTGGATATTGGAGCATGTGGAATCTGCTGAAGGGTCATATCCTCAGGGCGGGCAGTGAATTTCTGGCTTTTGATTACCTGTATAATGAGTGAGTGGCTGTAAGCAGTGTTTCCCTGAGTTCTGTGAGCTGCTCAAGTAATTGAATAGCACCTGAGGCGGGAATCTCAGGAACCGAGTTATGGCTATTCTGTCAGAAGTGTGTTTCCTGCTGATGGGGGCAGACTTGCAGAACTGAGCCTGTGGGATCTGATGTTCTCACTAGGTAACTAGTGTTAGACTAAATTGATTTGACTAGAGGACACTTAGCTGCAAAATCTTCCAAGAATTAATTGGTTGCTGGTGTTCTTAATCATGTTGTCTTAAGTGCATGAGAATAGGAAAAGGTACTTTGTCTTCTTTGTGTCTCTGACTAAGATTTAGGAAAATGGGAGTGTTTTTGTAATGGTGGCCACATATAACTAAATTGTTATGGTATTTTAATGAAAACACCTTATTGAATGAAGTCCATGATAAAGCATATGAGAGTAAGTTTTATGTGCTGAACATTAATATACTGATCTTGAGTTTAGTACAACCCATGGAGTCAGTAAACTATTGTATTCAGAACAAATGTGTCTTGTGAGACAAAAATGGGTTTCACATTTTAATAGTATGTTAAAAAAAACCAAATTGAGGCTGTGCTTATGTGACCTGTATATCTTTGAAATATTCTTTTAAGAACATTTTCAATACCTGATATAAATGATGAAATTGATGAGTAAACCCATTCCTGGCTTCTTCTTCTTCTTTTTTTTTTTAATGTTTCTAAATGTAATAGGTTATGCCAGTGAGATGTCTGAGGAGTTAAAGGGCTTGCTATACAAACCTAACAACACGAGTTCTGTCTTTGGACCCAACATGGTAGAAGGAGAGAAATAACTCCAGAAAGTTGTCCTTTAACCTTTTCATGGTTGCTGTGGCATATGCACACCTGCACACCAACACAGACACACAGATACCCACCCGCCCCCTCCCCACACAGATGCACAGAGACCTACCCGCCCCCACACACAGATGCACAGACACCTACCCGCCCCCACACACAGACACACAGACATCCACCCGCCCCCACACACAGACACACAGACACCTACCCATACACACAGACACCCACGCACCCATACACACAGACACACCGACACACCGATACCCACCTGCCCCCCCACAGACACACAGACACCCACCCGCCCCCCCCACAGACACACAGACATACAAACACCCACCCACCCATACACACACCAACACAGACACCCACCCACCCATACACACACCAACACAGACACCCACCCGCCCCCATACACACAGACACACAGACACCCACCCGCCCCCATACACACAGACATACAGACACCTACCCGCCCCCATACACACAGACACACACTAAAATAAGATTTAGAAATAATAGGTGATAAATTGTTTTAACACCATGTAGGGTGGTTTTTCAGTATAGTAACTGTAAGGGTACTAGACTATAAACCTCAAAATAAGGAAAGGAGCATTCCCTTACTCCCCCACATCACGTGACTAGAGCCTAGCAGTCTACAGAGTGACAGGAAGTAAACTTGAATTTTTAAAGGAAAAAAGTTTACTTGCAATCTGACTAAATTACATTGACTGAATTAATTTTCTTGAGCAGAAAACTTTTCATGGTTTATGAATCTGCAGTTAAGTTTTCTTTGATCCAGTTCCTTGACATTTTACTTTTTGTTAAACATAGTGTAATGGTTATATTCAAAGTATGGGTTCCAGAAGACTAACAACAGTAATGCTCCCTCACTCACTTAACCCAGTTTTCTGCTCAATAGTTTCTTGTTCTATAAAGTGGGGCTCATATTACCCAAATAAGTTTACTTTGTTTTAAAGATTATGCTAATTAGAATTAAATTAGTAAAAGAATATAGAACATTTATTCTTTGGCAAAATGTATCATGTGACTGCTGATTGCATGTTTCTTTCCATTCTTTGTTCCTTCTTTTTCATTATGTTAATTTGTATTTCTGAACATAATAGGAAGTTAGATTTTAACTTACATTTCTGGTTATGAAGAAATGAATATATCACTATTACAAACTATTTAAAAATAAATGTTTATAGCATAGGAAAACATTTCCTCCAAAATATTTAGTAAATTGGTTTATATACTTTGTGTGAAGCTAGCAAACCAAATAACCAAAGAAAATGAAACTTTTAAATTACATTAATCTGGAATAATGTCATTTCATTTTATTTTCAAATAAATAGGTCATATCAACTGCTTTTTACTTACCTCCTCTCTTCCCCTTTTTTTAAGAGCCTGGTTGTTGCCAATGGTGGTCTTGGTAATGGTGTGAGTAGGAAGCAACTGCTTTTGGCTTTAGAGAAATGTGGACCCATGGAAGCTCTCCTGATGCCACCTAATAAGCCTTATGCATTTGTAATATACAAAACTATTGAAGAATCCAAGAAAGCCTATGCTATCCTCAATGGAAAAGAAATCATTGATGATTTGGGGCAGAAGATCATTCTGTACTTGAATTTTGTGGAAAAAGGTACCTTGAAGTTACTTACTTTTTGTGTGAGTTTTCTTCTTATGGAGTCTCTATCAATTTCTTTGTGTTTGGGAAGATGGTGATGTATGTGTGTGTATGTGTACACATATATGTGCTGGTGTGTGTATGTTTGTGTTTGTGTGTGTGTGTGTGTGTGTGTGTGTGTGTGTGTGTACATGTATGTGGTGTGCTTGTTTGTGCTGTGCCTGTTGAAGTCAAAGGCTGATGTGGGAAGAGAGGAGCCATTACTCACTGCTGGTAAGAATGTGGATAGCAACTTGAAATGGAATTTCCATATGATCCAGCTCTCCTGCTCCTGGTTATATACCCAAAATAATTTTAATGTTTTCTTTTCTGTTGGCTAAGGATGTTGAACAACTTTTCAGAGAATTTTATTTAGTTTTTATTTCTTCTTTTGAGAACTGGCTTTTCTATTCATTTGCCTGTGCAAGAAAATTTTTCCCTCTGATTTTTTTCTCTACTACTTCAGAAAAGCTCACAATTTTTGCATGTTGATCTTGTATTCTGTTATTTTGTTGAAAGTGTTTACCAAGTCTAAGAGTTACCTGGTGGAATGTTTATGGATATAAATGTGGATACTTTGGCTTCTTTCTCTAGGTGAACCCCTTCTATTTCCTCCTCTTATTGATCTAGCTAATTCAATATTAGACTTCAAGCCCAGTATTGAATCCTAGAGGAGAGAGGACACCTTTGTCTCTTTGCTGTCCTGATATTAGAGGAAATACATTCAATTTTTCCCTGTTTAACATCATTGTCTATAGGTTTGTTGTATATATAGCCTTTATTGGGGTATGGTACTTTCTAGTTCTTCAGAACTTGTATCATGAAGAGATGTTGAACTTTGTTAAAGCCTTTTCTGCATTGAGTGAATTGACCTTGTGGTTTTTTTTCCCATTTTGTACTGTTTACTCTTGACGGTTTTCAAAATAACAGTTTATACAATAAGTATACAAAAAGCCTTGTCTTCAAGTGAGGTGTAGAAAGTGACTCAGTCATGTGCCAACAGAAGACCTGAGTGTCATTCTTTGCTGAAGAGAACTGTAGAGAGTAAAGTACAGTACAGATATGTTTTTCATCTTTGTTTTTGCATTTTGTGTGTTCCTTTGAGCTTCTGACTTCTGAAAATGACAATTAAGAGCCATTGGTTAAATTATTAAGGCCACTCCATGTAGTTAAAAGGGAGATTTATTTAGTGGAGTAACTTACAAATGAAGGGATAGGTAGGTTGTGGGTTCTGGGAAAGACGCAGCGCAGTCCAGCGGTGTTCTCTGGAGAACTCTCCTAGGTCTACCTCTAGTGTCCAGGGTCCAGGAAACAAGACAAGTGGTGCATCCAGATCTCGGGTCTTCAAGGTCCTCTCTTGGCCCTGCCTTGTAGGCGTGACAGTTACCGAAGCCTCAATGGGGGTTGGAACTTCCGGATCAAAGCTGGAATGGCTACCCACTACAAAGAGCCTTGCAAACTGGTGCTCTGGGGCAAAATTTATTTTATACATGTTTTGTATATGACTATTTTAATTTGTTTTCCTGTAGCACAATGGAAAAAAATGAGGCTTCAAGCCTTACCTCCAGGCCTCTTGGTGGTAGAAGAAATTATTTCTTCTGAGGATGAGAAAATGCTTTTGGAAAGTGTTAATTGGACAGGAGATACAGGCAATCAGAATTGTAAGTAAAACTTCAAGGTCCATAAATTACATTTTTGGAAAATGTCCTGATTCTATACTTGCTTTCATTGTATACCATAGGTTTATTGACATTATGCTGTTTCCTTAAGATCATTGGAAGTAGCTTGGACGTGGTGGTAGGCAAGTCACACTTACAGTTCTTAGGAACAGTTTTATATATAACATTTGTATAGCAACCAGTTCTAAACTCCAGTCTGAGGAATGTTAACATAAATTTTATCAGACCTTCCCCTGTTTAAAATCTTGTTTGCTTCTTGACTTGGTTAGTAGATTGTTCAGTGACAAGTTCTTGAGGGAGTTGACCAGAGAATCAGAAATAATAAAGACAGGAAAGTTCAGATCAGGAGGTCCTGCACAAGTTATGTCTTATGGCAAGCAAGAGATTAAGAAGTACAGCATCTTATGTACAATTTCGAGGGGGGAAATGAAACAGAGTTACTAGAAAGTTAAACAAGCATTGTTGCATGAAGGAATACAGGATATTCAAAGTTTCACAGGCTGAGCGCTCAGTGGCCGTGGGACTGATAACTATAGTCTCTTGAAGGGGGAAAAGTCAGGTTCCCAGAATCTGAAACCTTGACTCCTTCAAGGCCCTGGCTCAGCCCCAGACTTGACTTTGCCAGGTCTGCTACTAGGCAAGGATACAGAGCTAGTGTTCCTTTAGTTCTTCCATCAGGGCCTCTGAGAAAGCTGTAGGTTGGCCTGGCTCCCAACATTTCCTCTCTGCCCCGAAGATTCCTCCAAGCACTCAGTAGTACAGGACATCTCATGAGGACAAAGCAGCAATGAAAGCTGCTTCACCTCTTTCCAGATTATAGGCATTCTTGTGAGTGGTAGGATATACACATATTTCTCTCACATTAATAGATGAAACTCTTTAAGTGTTTTAAGCACAAAACAAATAAAATGGCTCATGCTATTAAAACAGTAATTTAGCAATTAGGAGAAGTTGTCATTACCTAATGACTCCTTATAATGTTGAGTGAAATATGAAGTGTTGCTGTCCTTTTCTTTCAAGCAATTTATTTTCTTCATACAGTTCAAAAGTCCTTAAAACACAGAAGAGTTAAACATTTTGGCTATGAATTCCACTATGAGAACAACACTGTGGATAAAGATAAGCCCTTACCTGGGGGTAAGTACATGTTAATACACAGTAAGTACTGGCATGGGAAGAATGATGTGATACATTAGAAGTTTATAATAGTTGAGATGCATGTCATCTGTAGGTAAACTTTTGAGATTACTGGTTAAATTTAGAAAATTTTAATTCTGTAAGTGGCCTAGTTTTGTTATAAAAGTTCAGATATACAGATGAAGTCAAAGCTCTTGTCTATTTATATACTGATGAAGTAAAAACTCTTGTCTATTTCTATTCATTCATTCATTTATTTGTTTGTTTGTTTGTTTTGTATCCTGACTGAGGTTTCCCCTCTAGCCTTTCCTCCCAGCCCCTTCTCCAACTTCCCTTCTGCTCCCCCCCTTTATCTACTCCTCCTCCATTTCTATTCAGAAAAGGGCAGGCCTCCCATGGATATCAGCAAAACATGGCATATCAAGTTACAGTAAGACTAAGCCCCTCTCCTTGTATTAAGACTGAGCAAGACAGCCCATTATGAAGAATAGGGTCCCAAAAGCCAGCAGAAGAATCAGAGACAGACCCTGCTTATACTGTTAGGAGTACCACAAGAAGACCAAGCTACACAACTGTCAGATATATGCAGAATGCCTACGTCAGGCTCCCTAGTTCAGTGTCTGTGAACACCTATGAGCCCCGGTCAGTTGATTCTGTGGGCTTTCTTGTGATGTCCTTTGCCCCGCTGGCTCCTACACTCCTTCCTCCCTCTCATCAGTAGGATTCCTAAGCTCAGTCTAATGTTTGAATATGTGTTTCTGCATCTGTTTCTACCAGTGGATGGATGAACCCTCTCTAATGACTACTGGGTTAGGCACCAATCTGTGAGTATAGTAGAATATCATTAGGCATCATTACATTGGCATCTTTTTTTCCAGTCCTATTTGGTTCTCTGGGGCAACTCAGCCTCTTGTTCCTGGCGCTTCAGATAGTGTCAGGGGTGAGCTCAATCTTGTGGCGTGGGTTTCAGACTGGACCAGTCATTGCTTAGCCACTCGCACCATTTCTTCACTACCTTAACCCCAGCACATCTTGTAGGCAAGACAGATTGTAGGCCAAAGGTTATATGGCTGGGTTGGTGTCCCAATTCCTCCGCTAGAAGTCTTGCCTGATTACAGGAGATGGCCGGTTCAGGCTATGTATTCCCTATTGCTAGGAGTATTAGCTGGGGTTATCCTTGTAGATTCTTGGGAGCTTCCCTTGCACTAGGTTTCTACCTCACCTAGAATGCCTCCCTTCTCCCATCATTTCTTTCAGTACTTTCCTTCTCCACACCCCTGCCCCCATCACTTCTGTTCCCATCCCCTAGTCTGTCCACCCATGAAATTTATTCTAATTCCCCTTCCCAGGAAGATCCAAGTGTTCGACCTTGAACCCTCCCTGTTACTTAGCCTCTCTGGGTCTGTGGATTATAGCATGGTTATCCTTTACTTTACAATTAATATCCACTTATAAGTGAGTACAAACCATGTTCATCTTTCTGGGTCTGGTTACCTTACTCAGGATTATTTTTTTCCTAGGTCCATTTCATGATGTCATCATTTTTAACAGCTAAATAATATTCCATTGTGTAAATGTACCGCATTTTCTTCATCCATTTTTCTGTTGAGGGGCATCTGGGTTGTTTCCAGGTTCTGACTACTAGGAATAAAGCTACTATGAACATCCTTTGGCTATATGCCCAAGTATTATAGCTGGGTGTTGAAGTAGATTGATTTCCAATTTTTCTGAGAAACCACCATATTGATTTCTAAAGTAGCTGTACAAGTTTGCATTCCCACCAACAATGGAGACAGCATGTGTTTTTGTTCTTAGCATTCTGACAGATGACATCTCAGAGTCTTTGATTTGCATTTCCCTGATAACTAAGGATATTGAACATTTTTAAAAAGTGTTTCTTGACCACTTGATATTCTTCTTTTGAGAATTCTTTTTTAGATCTGTACCCCATTCTTAAATTGGCTTATTTGGTTTTTTGATGTCTAGTTTGTTGAGTTCTTTATATATTTTGGAAATTAGCCCTCTGTTGGATGTTGAGTTGATGAAGAGCTTTTCCCATTGTGTAGGTTGCTGTTTTGTCCTATTGATGGTGTCTTTGCTTTTCAGTTTCATGAGGTCCTATTTATTAATTGTCCATCTTAGTGTCCGTGCTACTGGTGTCATATTCAGGAAGTAGTCTCCTGTGCCAATGCATTCAAGGCTACTTCCCATTTTGTCTTCTATCAGGTTCAGTGTATCTGGATTTATGTTGAGGTCTGTGATTCACTTGGACTTGAGCTTTGTGCAGGTTGATAGCTACAGATCAAATTGCGTTCTTCTATATTCCGACATCCAGTTAGACCAGCACCATTTGTTGAAGATGATTTCTTTTTTCCATTGTATGATTTTGGCTACTTTGTCAAAAATCAGGTGTCCATAGATGTGTGGATTCATGCCTGGGTCTCTGATTCAATTTTTATGCCTGTTTTTATGCCTGAACCCTGTGGTTTTTATTATTGTAGCTCTGTAGTTGAGCTTGAAGTTAGGGATTGTGATAACTCTGGAAATTCTTTTATTATATAGGATTGTTTTAGCTATCCTGGGTTTTTGGTTTTCCATATCAAGTTGAGTATTGTTCTTTCAAGGTCTGCAAAGAATTGTGTTTTGATTTTAATAGAAATTTCATTGAATCTGTAGATTTCTTTTGATAAGAAGGCCATTTTTACTATGTAAATTGTACTGATCCATGAGCATCAGAGGAGATTTTTCCATCTTCTGATATCTTCTCCAATTTCTTTCTTTAAAACCTTGAAGTTCTCATCATAAAGGTCTTTCACTTGCTTGGTTAGAGTTACACCTAGATATCATTTGTGGCTATTGTGAAGGGTGTCATTTCCCTGATATCTTTCTTTGCTTGTTTATCATTTGTATATAGGAGAGCTACATATTTTTCTGAGTTAATCTTGTATCCAGCCACTTTGCTGAAGGTTTTTTATCAGCTATAGATGTTCCCTGGTAGAATTTATGGGGCCACTTGAATATACTATCTCATCATCTGCAAATAGTGATACTTCTTCTCCAATTTGTATCCCCTTCATCTCCTTTAGTTGTCTTATTGCTCTAGCTAGAACTTCAATTACTATATTGAATAGATATGGAGAGAATGGACTGCCTTGTCTTGTTCCTGATTTTAGTGGGATTGCTCTGAGTTTCTCTCCATTTAATTTTATGTTGGCTATTGGCTTGCTATATATTACATTTATTATCTTGAGATATATCCCTTATATCTTTGGTATCTTCAAGACTTTTATAATGAAGAGATGTTGGATTTTTGTCAAAGCTTTTTTCAGCATCTAATGAGATGATTTTTTTCTTTCAGTTTGTGTATATGGTAGATTACATTGACATTTTCATATGTTAAACTATTCCTGAATCTCTAGGATGAAGTCTACTTGGTCATGGTGGATGTTCTTTTTGATGTGTTCTTGGATTTGGTTTGCAATTTTATTGAGTATTTTTACTTCAGTGTTCATGAGGGATATTGGTCTGTAATTCTCTTTCTTTCTTGAGTTTTTGTGTGGTTTGAGTATCAGGATGACTGACCTTATAAGATGAATTTGACCACGTTCCTTCTTTTTCTATTTTCTGGAATAATTTGAGGCATATTGGTATTGCCTCTTCTTTGATCATCTGGTAGACTTCTGTGCTAAAACCATCTGGCACTGGGCCTTTTTGGTTTGGAGATTTTTAATGACTGCTTCTGTTTCTGTTTCACTAGGAGTTATAGATCTATTTATATTGTTTTTCTGGTCTTGCTTTGCCCCCCCCCCCCTTTTTTTTTAGCTTTTCCAATTGTGTGGAGTACAGGTTTTTTAATGATTTTGTGGATTTCCTTGGGGTCTATTGTTATATCCCCCTTTTTCTTTCTGATTTTGTTAATTTGGGTATTCTCTCTGTGATTTTCAGTTATTTTTGGATAAGAATTTGTCTTATTGATTTTTTTTCAAAGAGCCAACTCTTTGTTTCATTGATTCTTTGTATTATTGTCTTTGTTTATAGCTTTCACGTGTGCTCTTTACTTGCTAGTATGGTATCTCCACATTCTTGATGTAGGCACTTAGTGCTGTAAACTTTCCTCTTAGCACTGCCTTCATTGTGTCCCATAAGTTTAGATATGTTCTACATTCATTTTCATTGAATTTCTAGGTAGTCTTTAATTTCTTTATTTCTTCAGAACACAGCATTCAGTAGAGAGTTGTTGAGTTTCCAGGAGTTTGTAGGCTTTCTGTTGTCGCTGTTGTTAAAACTCAGCTTTAATCCATGGTGGTCTGATAGGATGCAGGGAGTTATTTCAGTTTTCTTGTATCTGTTGAGATTTGCTTTGTATATGGTCAATTTTGGAGAATGTTCCATGAGTTGCTGAAAAGAAAGTATGTTCTTTTGTTTTTTGTAAAGTATTCTGTAGATATCTGTTAGATCCATTTGTTTCATAAGATCTGTTAGCTCCAGTATTTCTGTTTAGCTTTTGTCTGGATGTTCTGTCCATTGGGGAGAGTGGGGAATTGAAGTCTCCCAATATTAATATGAGGGTCAATGTGCCATTTAAACTTTAATAGTATTTCCTTTACAAATGTGGTTGTCCTTGTGCTTGGGAAAGGATGTTGAGAATCGAGATGTCATCTTAGTGGATTTTTCCTCTGATGAATATGAAATATCCTTACCCATCTCTTTTGATTAATTGTGATGTCTATTTTGTTAGATATTAGGATAGCTGGACCAGCTTCCTTCTTGGGGTCATTTGCTTGGAAAATCTTTTTCCAACCCTGGGGTAATGTCTGTCTTCGATGTTGGAGTGTTTCTTGTATGCAGCAGAAGGATAGATCTTGTTTTTGCATCCATTTTGTTAGCTTGTGTCTTTTTTTTTTTTTTTTTTTAGTTTTTTGAGACAGGGTTTCTCTGTGTAGCTTTGCGCCTTTCCTGGAACTCACCCTGTAAACCAGGCTGGCCTCAAACTCACAAAGATCCGCCTGCCTCTGCCTCCCGAGTGCTGGGATTAAAGGCGTGCGCCACCACTGCCCGGCTAGCTTGTGTCTTTTTTATTAGGGAACTGAGTCCTTAGATATTGAGAGATATCAGTGAACAATGATTTTTAATTTTTGCTATTTTATTATATATGTTGTTGGTAGTGTGTATGCATGAGTATGCGTGTATGTGGTTTTCCTTCCTTGGGTTATGCTGGTGTGAGATTATTTATTGGTTGTGTATTTTGGGGTTTAGTTAACTGCATTACGTAGGAGTTTTCCTTCCAGTTCTTTTGGTAGGGCTGGATTTGTGGATAGATATTATTTAAATTTGACTTTATCATTGAATATCTTGTTTTTTCCATACATGGTGATCGACAGTTTTGCTAGGTATAGCAGTCTGGCCTGGCATCTGTGCTTTTAGAATCTCCCTTGAGAAGTTGGGTGTAATTCTGATATGTCTGCCTTTATATGTTATTTGGCAAGAAAAACTCTTGGAGCTTTTAACATTCTTTCCTTGTTCAGTGTGTTTTGATTATTATGTGGTGAGGGTTCTTTCTTTTGTGATCTATTTAGTGGATGTTCTATAAGCTTCTTGTACCTTTACAGGCATGTCCTTTTTTAGGTTAAGAAAATTTTCTTCTATGATTTTGTTTAAAATTTTCTGGGCTATATTTGTGCTGGGAATCTTCTCCTTCTTCTATTCCTATTATTCTTAGGTTTGATCTTTCCATAGTGTCCCAGATTTCTTGGATGTTTTGTGTCAGGAATTTTTTGGATTTAACATTTTCTTTGACCCATATATTTATTTCTTCTATAGTTTCTTCAACACCTGAGATTCTGTCTTCCATCTCTTATATTCTGTTGGTGATACTTGCATCTGTAGTTCCTGTTCGATTACCTATTTTTTCTTTTCTAGAATTCCCTCAGTTTGTGTTTTCATGTTTACTTCCTATTTGTGTCTTTCCTCCTTCCCTACTTCTTCCCTTTAGAAATATTTGCTCTTATCAATTTAGTACACATTCTTCTTACTTTTTTTAAATGGAATGAGTTCATATCTAAGTTCATGTATCTATTCAAGTAAACATGAATAGCCTTATATTGTAAAAGTAGTCTTCCATCGTCTAGTCATAGTATGTTTCTCATCTATATATACTCCTTGTGCCTTGTAGATCTTGTCATTTTTCATTTTACTGAGTGTCAGGGTAGTTACCTACCCTAAACATTAAGGTTACTTCTAGGTTTTAGCACTCAGAAATAGCACTTTAGTGAGTATTTTTGTGCATGCCTCTTCATATTCTGTGCAAGAGTTTCTTAAGAAGACTGCAAAGAAGTAAAATTGTTGCTTCAAAGGTTAGGTTTATCGAAGAGACAAAAATAGCTCCAAATAGATGGGCCAGTATATTTTTACACACTGTCCTTACCAACATGCTGTACAGCTTTTCAGTTTACAGTTTCCTGGTTAGTAATGAGGTTGGCCAATTGTATTTCCTTTTCTAATTTTCTTTTCATCTCCTGCTGGTTTTTTTTTAATGGGTTATATAAACTGATTATCTAAATTATACTGGCAATAACTCTCTGTTGAGTTAAATTTTATTTATTTATTTATTTATTTGTGTGTGTGTGTGTGTGTGTGTGTGTGTGTGTGTGTGTGGTGTGTTCGTTCATGTGTTCATGTGTGTATAGGTACCTGTGAGAAGCAGAGGACAAGACAACCTTGAGTATTGTTCCTCAGGAGCTGTCCATCTTATTTTGAGACAGGGTATCGCTGGCCTTGAACTAACCAAACAAACCGGTCTGATTGACCAGGGAACCTCATTGACCTGCCTATCTCTGTCTCCACAGATTTTAAAAGTGTGTGTTACCATGCCCAGTTTTTTTCTTGTGCTGTCTATTGGGTACTTTGTTGATTGAAGCATTTCTCCTATCCTAAATTTATTGTTTATGACTTTGATCACATTTATAACATGATAAAAGTTTCACTTTGAAAGGTACGATTTTTAAAATAGTATTAATTTAAAATGTTTGCAGTAAGTGGGATACCTTCAAAGACTGACAAAGTATTCAATTTAATTTTTGACATAAAATCTATAAGTTGAGCCTCCCTAATCTGAAAATCCAAAATTCAAATTTCTCTAAAATCTGAAGGTGTTTGAGAGCAGATGTGATGCTACCAGTGGAAAGTGTCCATATCTAAGCTCATGTGAATGGGTCATAGTCAAAACACAAGCACATTAAAAATAAGATATAAAATTACCCTCAGCCTGTGATGTAAGGTATATATGAAACATTTTTAGTTCATTTGGACAAGGGCAATTCATTGTATATTGTTTAGTATCATTTTATAAAATGTCAAAGTTGTTATTAGTAAAATTATTATTTTGTGCTTTTTATTTGATAAGGGTGTGATAACTTTAAAAGATTCTTACAGGTCTATTTCTTAATTTGTTTTGTCTGTGGATTTGTCATCTTTTTTGACACCAAAAGCTCTGATCGCAAAAGCTCTATGATAGCATAATGTTACTTTTATATTTTCAGTTAAACATGCAGCTTGTTTTGCTTTTCTGGTTACCAACTTTAGGTCTTCCTGATATTTGCAATAGCATTTTAGAGAAATGGTTGAAAGAAGGTTACATTAAACATAAACCGGATCAGTTGACCATAAATCAGTATGAGCCTGGACATGGTAGGTGCTTTTTTTCTAAACACATTTTTTTTTTCTTTTAGATTATCTTTTATGTGTGTGAGTGTTTTGCCTGCATGCCTGTCTGTGAATCACATGTTTTTCTACTGCCATAGCAGGTCAGAAGAAAGTATCAGATCCCATGGAACTGGAGTTATGGATGATTGTGAGCTGCTTTGTGGGTCCTGGGAACTGAACCTGGGTCTTCTGGGAAGAGCATCTAGTGCTTTTAACCACTGAGTTATGTCTCCAGCCCCAGTTGTTTCTTCTTTAAAATCCCAATTTTGTATTTGAGAATTAAGAAGGTTATGAAATATTTTTAAGATCGAAAGTTAAAATTCAGTGTTTTTTTTAAACATTTTTGTTTTAGCTAAAGTTAATTTTTAAGCTGCTTTGCTTATATACAATATCTGTATTGCTTATTACTTGCAGTCTGTACCTCCACCCCTTGAGATTCCATTATAAAACATAACTAAATGGATATACATTGCTGTTTGTGGGTTTTGCTTGTTTTTTGTTCCTCTCTCAACATGTTAGAGAGGGAGTTGATAGATTGGAAAACAAGAAATGTTTAATAGAAGAAGCAAGTTATTCACAGAAAGGAAGAACTAACTGGTTGTATGATTTTTCTCCTCTTCTATTTTAGAATGTGTAGAATAATTCTAGGAGTATGTGCCAGTGAAAATCTTACATTTGGGTAGGTTATTAGTAGCATTTTCACACAATATTTGTAGTTAAGTGATTTTTCCCCCAAGGGTTTTTTCCCTCTGCTTTTATCATGCTATGCTTTATTTTATTTTTTGTTCTTTTATTATGGTGCTGAGGATTAAACTTAGGGCCTAGTATCTGCTAGGCAGGAACCCTGTCATTGTGCTACATTCCTAGTCCCCAAGACTGATTCAAACTTTGAGCTGCTTCTGTCCCAGCTCCCCCAGGGCTAGGACTGCAGATGTGTGCGGCTGTGCCCACATTATAAGTATTTGAACTGTGTATTTTCCTGTCTGACTTTCCACTGGTCTATATATCCTTGAGTTGGCTGTATCTTTCTTCTTTATATCTTTTCTCTGTGTTACAGTTTCTTTATTTACCAGACTGATGAATAGAAGAAGCTGTGTCTTAATTATTAATGTATTTGCCTCTGTTCTCCAAGTCCTTGAGAGTCCCAGTATTTATGGGAAAGAATGACTTGTATTTGTCTTCCACGTTGACCTCTTAGGCTGTGAATGGAAAATTTGTCTTATTTAAGCAGTGACTCCTGAGCCTTGATTTAAAGTCAAGTCTCAATGTTGTTTTATTTTGAAATTGAGTTACCCTGTTTTAGATTTAATTTTGTCGAGTCATATTCATTGTTTCCTGTTAACTAAGATTATAGTACCTTCTTAAAAACCAAAAAATCTTTTCACCATAATTACATGAGGCTATGTATATGCATAGTCTAAATCTACAATGGATGATGAAGTGATATTATCATGTTTTCTATCTCAGGAATTCCTGCCCATATTGACACACATTCTGCATTTGAGGATGAGATCATTTCTCTCAGTTTGGGGGCAGAGGTAAGTGCTGAAGCATTTCTTTTCCTCCTCCTTTTTTTTTTTTTTTTTTTAAAAAATCAGCTTTTAGCATATTTTGCCTTGCACAGTACCTTGTTTCCCCTATGGGACCATCCACACTCTAATTAAAATGAATTAAAATTTTAAAATAAAAAGGGCTTTGTTAGCACATTAGTTCCTACCAGAGTGGGTAGTTTCACCAACACCCCCCCCACCTCCCCACCCCCACCACGCACTTTTTTTTTTAGATGTCCAAAGTTTTACCTTGTAGCTCATCAGATGCCAGGATAAATCTGTACGTTTATTCATACATTTCATATTGGCAGTCAGGTGAAATACAAATTTTCTCTGGTGTAATTTGGCCCATTTTTGACCTACCTTTGCTGCATACCACATGGTGCTAAAAGATAGTCACCACATGAAATAGGGTAATGAGATAATGAGAGAACTGAAATTCACATGCCTGGGAGTTCTACTCATTTATTTATTTATTTATTTATTTATTTATTTATTTATTTATTTATTTATTTTTGCTGTTATTTTTTTAGACATAGTCTTTTTGTCTTTGGGCTACCTATGTAGACCAGACTGGCCTGGAACTCACAGAGATTCACCTACGTCTGCCTCCTGAGTGCTAGGATTAAATGCTTGTGCCATCACACCTGGCTACAGGTTAGACCTTTTTACTTAGGTAACTTGAGTCAAACCTTTCAGAAACTTTAGCAGAGGATTATTTCTGTCCCTCCAGGTAAAGAAAAGGCTCATGTTTATTTGGTGCTTGATTTCTGTAGTTGCACTTTGCTTGAGCTGCTAAACATGCAGAACCATGATTCAATGTGGTGAATGTAAGTCCCTCAACAAATGAGTGACCAGGCCCTACCCCCAGACTATTCCAACAGCCAGGCCTAGCCCCTTGAGGCATGTGGCCAGGCCCTGTCTCTCAGACTACTCTAATGGTTTTAATGGCCATTTCTAGCTCCTGGACATACAGGTGACCAAGCTCTATCCTACAGAAAAAAAAAAAAAAAGCCTAAGATCAGGTCACAAAAATCTCACTAACCCCTGAGTTTGCCCCAATATCAGGCCAGAGAATCCCAGCAATCCCTGAGCTTGCCCCAAGATCAGGCCACCCTGGAAAGGTCTTCTTCCCAAGAAACCCTATATAAAGCCTGCCTCCTGTTCAGTTCTTTGGTGCTTTTCTCCCAAGCAGAGGCAACCATCCTCTTGTGTCTTTCCCAATAAATTTCTTGTGTGAGGTTTGTTGGGCAGTGTGACTTTGTATTCTTTGGCTTCCAACTGCTAGGATATCTTTCCTCTCAGACCTGTAACATTTACAGTGTATGCAAGTTATACATGGACTTTCAGACAGAAATAGAAAATAAATGAATCCAAAATAATCCTTGAAATATTGAGATCATCTCATCTAACTAGTGGTTGCTTCAAAATCTAATGTCTCTCCTGGAGGCAAGTACTATTTGCCTCTCCTCCTCCTTCCCTCTTCCTCCTTTTGTCTCTTTCCATTATATCTGTATAGTTTCCATCTCTGTAGCTTAAGCACTTTGATGTCTCAACCTCTGCTGTGTTCTTGTGATCTTGATGCTGTGGTTAAAGAACCAATAATGTTTGTTTGATATAGTAAAACCATCTTATCATTTACATATGTGGATTTTTAGTATAGAAGGCTTCAGAAATAATGAACATGGGAGAAAAAAACAAACGTTCTTTTTCCATGTTGCTAATCCTTACTTGTAGATTTAGGGAGGCAGTGAGTAACATTCTTGAATTTTCTTCCTAAAGTTGAGAAATTAAAAAACAAAAAGGCAAAGGGAAATCAGCATGTCTTCAGCTTTCTAATGAGAAAAGTGATGGCAGACTTCACTGTAAGTCTGTGGCCAAGTAGACATTTCACACTTCACCTCTGAGTTACAGAAATACACTGTCCTTGTTTACAGCACTGACTGTCTGCTTAGGAAAAAGCTGGCCCTGTAACATTGGACCAGAAGGAGCATGTTAGATCCTACACACTGGCTGGTTCTGAAAAAGACTAAAGAAAAGGGCAGGGACCAGTGAGCCTGGCTGCAGTATAATGGGTCAGCTAGCTTTGCTGCTGTCATGGGAAGCTGCAAGCAAGGAGGTAGGTAAAAGTTAGGAATGTTAGAGGAAGTTTTAGCTCTACTTAGCTATTAACCTAGAAATATGGTCAGTATAAATGAACCATCCTTAATCCCTGGAATGTATGACACTAGACTCAGCATTAACCCTTCTGGGTGATAACCTTTTAACTTTTGTCTTTGCTCCAAGATTGTTATGGATTTTAAGCACCCAGAGGGTGTCACAGTACAAGTTATGTTGCCTCGTCGGAGTTTGCTGGTGATGACAGGAGAATCTAGATATCTTTGGACTCATGGGTATGTATTGTGATGACCTTAGTTACTGATGGGAAACTTTCTGCTTTGTGAGATTTCTCATTCTTTTCTGTCTGAGATGCTGAAGCCATGTCCTGTGCCTGTACATCAAATCATTTGTGTACAAGCCTTCCAAGATATATGCAGGTTTTTTGTTTGTTTTGTTTTTTAATACACTACCTTTTTCTGAAAAGATTTCAAATTTAAAGAAAAATTATGTGTAATAGAGTAAACTCCCTCCACTTTTCACCTGTAGTTTTCAGTTATGAATACTTTGCTACATCTTTTACTTTTTCTCACCTGTTATCATCATTGCTTTTGCATAATCATTTGAGAGTAACTTTCAGCATCATAATTTTTCTTCATTTTGGTGGAAATGAATCTTTAATTGTTTGAAGACAGAACATTATACTGCTAGAATTTGTGTGTGAAAGTATTTATATATGTATGTGTGTATATACAAATAATTAAAATAATGCTTAATTTTATATGAATTCCTTTCTGCTTATAAATTTTAGCTGACACATTTCAAATATTCAGCAAAATTATCATGTTATTGTATTAGTAACCTGTTCTAAGTTTTAATTAAATAATTACTGAGAATAGATTCTTCTCTCATATAGTACATCCTGAACACAGTTTCCACTCCCTCCACTCTTCCCAGCTCCCTCCCACCTCCCCTCTCCCCTAGATCCACACTCCCAGTCTTTTTCCTTTTCAGAAAAGAGCAGACCTCCAAGAGATGACAGTCAAACAGGACAAAAAAAAGATACAATAAGACAAGGCAGCAGCCCTCTCATCGAGTTCTGGATAAGGCAACCTAATAGGATGAAGAGTCTCAAGAGCAGGCAAAAGAGTCAGTGATACACCTCTTCCCACTGTTAGGAGTCCCACAAAAACGCCAAGCTAACAACAGTAACATATATGCAGACGACCTGGTACAGACTCATGCAGGCTCTGTGCCTGCTGCTTCAGTCTCTGTGAGCCAATGTGTCTTAGTTAATATTTCTATTGCTGTGAAGAGATACCAAGACCATGGGAACTCTTACAAAGGAAAACATGTAATTGGGGCTGGCTTACAGTTCACAGGTTTAGTCCATTAATGTCATGGTGGGAAGCATGGTGGCATTTAGGCAGACATGATGTTGGACAAGGAGCTTGAGAGTTCTACATCTTGATCTGCTAACTTGAGCTTCTGAGACCTCAAAGCAGACCCCCTAGTGACACACTTATTCCAACAAAGCCACACCTACTCCAACAAGGACATACCTCCTAATAGTACCACTCCCTATAGACCAAGTATTCAAACACATGAGTCTATGGGGGCCATTCCTTTTCAAACCATCACACCATGTGAGCCCTGCTTAGTTGATTCAGTGGGCTGTATTCTCCTGGTGTCCTCCATTCCCTCTTATTCCTACTTTTCCCTCTTCTGCAGGGTTTCTAGATCTTTGAGGGGAGGGACCTGATGAAGACCTCCAGTTTAGCTTCTCTCCCTCACATAAAGTCTGACTGTGGGTCTCTGCACCCATTCTCATATGCTGCTGGAGGAAACCTCTCTGATGAGTGGACAAGGCACCTATCTATGAGTACAGCAGAATATCATTCGTAATCAGTTTGTTAATTTTTTTTTTTTTTGCCAGTTTTTTTTGTTTTGTTCCTGGCCATCCAGGCAGTGTAGGGCATAGTCTCCTTCTTGTGGGCCTCAAGTTAGTCTCCTTGTGGTGTGGGCCTCAAGTTAAACCAAGCATTGGTTGGCGATTATCACAGGTTCTGTGCCACCATTGCTCTTTTACATCTTGCAAGCAGGACAGATTGTAGGTTGAAGGTTTTGTGGCTGAGTTGGGCCTAGTTTTTCATTCCACAGCCTACACAATATCTTCTTGAGCCAATTTGACTATAATGTAGTGGTGAAGGCTACATGTAGGAGCCTTTCCTCTCTGTAGGTATAGATGTAGATGTAAAATTTAGAGAGGAGCTTAACTTCTCTGCATTCAATGAGCTTTATAGATGTTTTACTCAGAAATGGGGCTCCACTTTCAGTTTCAAAGAATGATCTTCTGTCCTAGTATCAGCCTGTGTTATTTAGGAATCTCCTAAGCACCCCCTCAGCCAACAACACAAACAAGTACAACCCAGTCCCACCACTGGAAGCCTTGCCTGCCTACAAAAGATGGCCAGTTCAGACTCCATATTCTCTATTACTAGGAGTCCTCATTAGGGTCACCTTCATAGATTCCAGGAATTTGCATTTCCACTCAACCCCTGATTTCCCCCACCCATTCCAGCTGTCCCTTCCTGTACTCTCTCCCTCCATCCATTCGCACCCACCCCATATGATCCCTCTTGCCCCTGTCCCCACCCCTGCCCCAGTCCCCCATACCCTTGCAAAATCTACTTCCCCTTCCCAGAGAGGTCTATGCTTCCCCATTAGAGCCCTACTTTTTACTAACCTCTCTGAATCTGTGGATTTTAGTTTGATTATCATTTACTTACAGCTAATGTCCATTTATATGTAAATATCATATTTGTCTTTCTGAGTCTGGGTTGCTGTAGCAGGAATCTTAAATGGTCTTATTAATAAAATCAAACCTGGAGCCAGGTATTGGGGTGAATGCTGGAAGATCAGAGAAGCAGAACCTACCTCACCTCTCCAGTTCCTCAGCTGATACTGTTTCCTCAGACTGGAAGCCTCTGAGTCCTCATCCGAATGGGTCTCAGCTGAACTGCTGCTCAAAAGCCTGAAAACTTAACCAGCTAAAAGCTTCTAGTTTCTGGTCTTCATGCCTTATATATCTTTCTGCTTTCTGCCATCACTCCCTGGGATTAAAGGCTCACTTCTTGGGATTAAAGACGTGTGTCACCATGCCTGGCTGTTTCCAATGTGGCCTTGAACTCACAGAGATCCAGAGGGATTTCTGCCTCTGGAATGCTAGGATTAAAGGTGTGAGTGCTACCATTTTCTAGCCTCTGTATCTAGTGGCTGTTCTGTTCTTTGACCCCAGATAAGTTTATTAGGGTTCACAATATTTTGGGGAACACAATACCACCACAGGTTGCCTTATTCAGGATAGTCTTTTTCTAGTTATATCCATTTGCTTGAAAATTTCATGATGTCATTTTTAAAACAAAACAAAACAAAACAAAACTGAGTAATTCTCCATTGTGTAAATGTACCACATTTTCTTTATCTGTTCTTCTGTTGAGGAATATTTAGATTGTTTCCAGTTTCTGGTTATTATGAATAAAGCTTCAGTGAACATAGTTGAGCAGGAATCCTTCTGGTGGTTCTTTGGGTATGTGCCCAAGAGTGGTTGATATAGCTGGGTCTTGAAGTAGATCGAGTCCCAATTTTCTAAGGAACCACCATATTTCTGAGGAACGCTGTGTACGTTTGCAGGCTCACTAACAATGGAGGAGTATTCCCCTTGCTCCACATCCTTGCCAGTATGAGTTGTCACTTGTGTTATTGTTCATAGCCATGCTGACAGGTGTCATTCAGACATCCAGTTTTGACTAGCATCTTTGTTGAAGATGCTTTCTTTTTCTCCAGTGTGAATTTTTGGCTTCTTTATCAAAAATCAGGTATCCATAGGTGTATGAATTTATGTCTGGGTCTTCCTTTTGATTCTATTGATCAACTTGTCTGTTTTTATGTCAGTGCCATGAGGTTTTTATTACTAAAGCTCTGTAGTACAACTTGAACTCTGGGATGGTGATACTTCCTGCAGTTGTTTTATTGTTCGGGATTGTTTTAGCTATCCTGGGTTTTTTGTTTCTCCATATTAGGTTGAGAATTGTCCTTTCAAGGGCTGTAAGGAATTGTGTTGTAATTGTGGTGGGGATTATGTTGAATCTGTAGATTGCTTTTGGTAGGATGGCCATTTTTACTATGTTAATTCTTCCAGTCCATGAACATGAGATATCTTTCTATCTTCTGATATCTTTTTCAGTTTCTTTCTTTAAAGACTTGAAGTTTTTTTACATACAAGTCTTTCACTTGCATGAGTAGAGATTCCCCAACATATTTTATATTATTTGTGTCTATTGTAAAAGGTGTTGCTTCCCTGATTTCTTTCTCAGTCTGTCATTTGTATATAGGAGGGCTACTGATTTTTTTCTTTTTTTAGTTAATCTTGTATCCACCCACTGTGCTGAAAGTGTTTATCAGTTATAGGAGATCCCTCATGGAATTTTTAAGGTCATTTATACATAGTATTATATCATTTGCAAATAATGACACTTTGACATCTTCCTTTCTGATTTGTATTCCTTTGATCTCCTTTAGTTGTCCTTTTGCTCCAGCTAAAACTAAAACTTGATCAATAGAATCAAGTACTATATTGAATAGATATGGAGAGAACGTTGTCTTGTTCGTGACTTTAGTGGAATTGCTTTGAGTTTCTCTCCATTTAATTTGATATTGGCTATAGCTTGCTATAAACTGCCTTTATTATGTTCTGGTATGTCCCTCGTGTCCATAATCCCTCCAGAATTTTTATCATGAAGGGGTGTTGTGTTGGAGCCCACCAGGTTTCCTAGTGGCTGTACCCAGCATAAGAGGTTGATTGGAACATGGGCCTGGGTACCAGGTGACTGTAACTAGCAAGGTGAAGGTCTTTTGCTCCACCCCTTAGCATTATTATAAATAGACCTTTGAAATAAAGTTCTGGGCCCGTTTGGATAAGGATCCAGGCCTACTAGAGTCTATCCTGTGTTTTCTCTCTGTTTCTCTCCTCCTTACTTCTAACTAAGTCTCTTATCCCTCATTCCTCAAGAGTCCTGGGGTAAATAATGGTGGGGGCTGGTCCCCTAAAGTGTTGGATTTTGTTGAAGGCTTTTTTGACATCTAATGAGGTGATCATGAGGGTTTTTTCTTCACTTTATTTACATGGTGAGTTACATTCGCATATTTTCATATGTTGAACCATTCTTGCATCTCTGGCATGAAGCCTACCTGATCATAGTGGATAATCTTTTCTGATGTGTTCTTGGATTAGGTTTGCAAGTATTATATTGAGTATTTTTATATCTGTGTTCATAAGAGAAATAAGTCTGTAATTCTTTTTATTTTTTTAGCCTTTATGTGGTTTGGGTATCAGGGTAACTGTGGCCTCATAAAATGAAGTGGACATTGATCCTTCTATATGTGTGATTTAAGCTGTCCTAGTGTTTCTTTTGGGATGGGGAGATTATGTTTGGGGCATAGATTAAAAAAAAAATTGGGAAGTTATCTTGGCAGATTTTTCCTTTGATGAATATGTGGTGTCCTTCCCCATCTCTTTTGATTAATTTTAGTTTGAAGTATATTTTGTTAGATAGTAACATGGCTACACCAGCCTGCTTCTTAGGTCCATTTACCTGGAATATCATTTTCCAACCCTTTACCCTGAGGTAATACCTGTCTTTGATGTTGAGGTGTGTTTCTTGTATATAGCAGAAGAATGGATCCTGTTTTTTAATCCATTCTGTTATTCTTTGTCTTATTAGAGAATTGAGACCATTGATATTGAAAGATATCTATCAATGACCAATGACTGTTAATTCCTGCTAGTTTATTGTTATTGTTGGTGGTGATGGTGTGTGTATGTGCGTGTCTGTGTGTGTGTCTTTGTGTGTGCTTCCCTTCTCTTGGTTTTGCTAGTGTGAGACTATTTATTTCTTGTGTTTTTATGGGTGTAGTTAATATCCTTGCTTTGGATTTTTCTTCTAGCACCTTCTGTAAGGCTGGATTTGTAGATAGATAACGTTTAAATTTGACTTTATCATGGAGTAACTTATTTTTTCCATTTATGGTGATTGAAAATATTGCTGGGTATAATAATCTGAATAATCTGAACTGGCATCTATGGTCTCTTAGAGTCTGCAGCAAATCTGTTCAAGCCCCTTTTTGCTTTTCGAGTCTCTATTGAGAAATCAGGTGTAATTCTGTTAAGTCTGCCTTCATATGATACCAATCCTTTTCCTTCGCAACTTTTAATATTTTTTTGTTTGTTCTATATGTTTGGTGTTTTGATTATTATGTGGTGATGGGACTTTCTTTTTTGGTCCAATCTATTTGGTATTCTTTATGTTTCTTGTGCCTTTATAGGTATTTCTTTGTTTAGAAAATTTTTTCTTCTATGATTTTGTTGAAAATATTTTCTGTGCCTTTGAGCTGGGAATCTTCTCTTTCCTCTATTCCTATTTTCCTCAGGTTAGGTCTCTTCATAGTTTCCCAGATTTCCTGAATGTTTTGAGTCAGAAATATTTTAGATTTAACATTTAACATTTTCTTTGACTGGTGTATCCATTTCTTCTATCATATCTTCAATACCTGAGATTATCTCTTCCATCTCTTGTATTCTGTAGGTGAAGCTTGCCTCTAGATAGTTCCTGTTTGTATTTCTAAATTTTTCATTTCCAGAATTCCTTCAGTTGGTGATTTCTTTATTTTTTTTCTATTCCCATTTTCAGGTCTTGAACAGTATTAACTTGTTTCCTTCAACTGTTTGTTTGGTTTTTCTTGGCTTTCTTTAAGGTATTTATTCATTTCCTCCAATTGTTTGTTTTGGTTTTCCTGGCTTTCTTTGGTCATGGGCAAGGCGAGGCTGCAGCTTGTGTTCTGTTGCAGAGCTGTGGCTGACCCTGAGGATTGGGTCTTGGGGAGCAGGGAGACTGGACAATGTCATCAGCTTTCCTGGTCTTCTGGTGGTGTGGCCTGTGATTGAGCATGTATTGTTTACTTGTGTTGGGGGATGTGTGGTTGAGTAGGGGTTGTCTGCCCAAGTTGAAGGCTGGGGCACAGTGAGGAGATGGGGAGGGGAGGCCAAGGTGGGATGAATCTGTGGGATTCAACAAGAGGGGGGACAGGCTGCAGCTGGTGTTCTGTTGCAGCCCTAAGGGCTACCCTGAGAATTAGGTTGGGAAACAAAGAAAGTAGAGAAAGTCCTTTCCTGGGCAACATCTTTTTCAGGTGTGGCCAGGGTGAGGTGGTGGGATTCACAGGATGTATAGACAGCCAGTGGCGAGACTATTATTGATTATAAAAGCTCTGCCGATAGCTTAGGCTTATTTCCAACTAGCTCTTGTAACTCAAATTAAGCCGTATGTTTTAATCATGTTCTTTTACATGGCTTGGTTGCCTTTACTCTGTATTGCCCATGCTGCTTCCTCTGAGTCTCCTGGCATCCCCTCTTCTTCTTCCCAGCATCCTCTCTGCCTAGAAATCATGTCTAGCTATGAGCCATTCAGCTTTTTATTAAACCCATCAGTGACACATTTTCACAGTGTACAAAAAGATTATTCCATAATACTTCTCAGATAAGCATTTTGTCTTCTTCCCAGCATCCTCTCTGCCTGACCCTGACCATGATATCCCTATGCTAATTCCCTGCTGGGTTCCACCCTCCTGCATGCTTAAGGGAAGTTCCTTGTCTGTGTATCATGCATATTGGGCGTTAACAGCTTAGATGCAAGATTGTAAAGTGTTAACAGCTTAGATGCAAGATTGTAAAGCATGGTAGCGAACTTCTACCCTCCAGGGTTCTCCCATTGTGCTGTAAGCCTGTATTTAAGATCTCCTCCCTCCTTCAATAAAAGGCATTCGGCATTAAAAAAAATAATAAAATAAAATAGGAAAAATTGCTTGCCAAATCTCCCCCCCCCAAAAAAAAGAAAATATCTTATGTCCTTAACAAGTAGTTATTTCTGAAAGTTTGGATTGTAAGTCATACTGATGTTTAAAGCTGGTGTAAGAATTGTACATTCTTTGTTATATTTTTAGGAGAAAAAAATAAATCTCAACATTATTTTTTAAGGTTGCTATTAACATTTATTACATTAAGAGTGACTGACTGACTGTGTGTGTCTGCATTTGCATGCTATGGAAAGAGATGGAGGAAAAGGTGGAGGTAGTCAGAGATGGGGAATAAAGTGATAGAAAAAACAAACACTATACCAACTATTGAGATGCTTGTTAAGATCTTTGGTGAAAGGGAGAATAAATTGAAATAAGCATGGCAGCATAGGAAATCAACTTGATAATAACCTTTTGATGATTATTCTGGAAAAAAATAAAACAAAATCCCAAAATGCTATATGTACGTTCTTTCCCAAGTACATTGTAATTTGTAGAGTGTCATAGATTTGAAAAGGTATGTTAATTCCAACATTTATAGTGCTCCCTAAATATTGTTGTCACTATAATGCCAAGTAAGTTATTTTATTTGTTGTCTTCAGAATTACACCCAGAAAATTTGATACTGTCCAAGCATCTGAGCAGTTCAAAGGTGGAATAATCACCAGTGACATCGGAGACTTGACTTTAAGCAAGCGGGGAATTCGAACATCATTTACGTTCAGAAAAGTGAGGCGTATGCCCTGCAATTGTAGTAAGTCTCTAATTTCATCTGTGCTACAGCAGAATAAATGTGGTATGGAAACCCTTTAAGGCCATCAGTACTTAGTAGAGCTTTTTCTTAACTTCTCCATGAGATCTGCTGTACTCTGTCTGTGTTAGGCTTTCACTTCTCCAAGCTACCTTCATTAGTGTTTATATTCTTTGAAGGCAGAGGCTATGTTTTATCATTTATTTACCTGATATTTGGTCCTTTTACATTGCTGAGTGCCAAGAAAATGTTTTAGTTTTTGAAGTAATAGCTAAGAGTGTTGGGATTGTAAAGCATTAATTGTGCAGAAATGGCTTTTGTTGGAAAGGCTTGTCAGGCTCTTGATTTTTCTTTTTAAATCTCAACAGAGAAGTTGGAGATGATAGATTGCTTGTGTGGGTAAGGGTGACTCTAGGGGAGTAAGTAGAGGTTTATATTCTAGTCAGTTTGAAAATCTGGATCTAAAAAGAACTGCACACATAGGATGTTGTTCTGACTTGTTTATATGAGTGTGTTCTTCCCTAGATTAATTTTCATGGACTCAACATAAAATTCTTTTACTTTATAAATGATAATTTGTAATGAGAGGAATCAGAGAATGCTTTTCATATCACAGGTGTTTCAATTTGGGATAGCCTGTAACAATAACCATTATATTTAGCTGCAATCTTAAATAAATAAAAAATCTTTTCTCTCAGTGCTGGTGACATGGTTCAGCTGTAGCTCTTTTGGGGGACCTGAGTTTGCTTCTTCCCAGTGCTCATGTTGTCAGGCTGTTACTCCAGCTCCAAAGGATCTGATACTTTCTGGGCTCCACAGGCACCCCCCTCCTCCATGGCATACATACACAGAGACATATACACGTGAATAAAAATACAAATAAATATTAAAGTGCAAAGCCTCTTAGATCTGAAGATGATAATCCTGTTAAAAAACTTGAAATCACTGTATTTGTGAGGCTGAAAATGAGTTTTTGCTTATTTTACTAACACTGTCAATAAGTTTATAAAGTGCGATACTTTAAAGATGTTTGGTATTTGATGAGTCTCACACTACTGGCAGCCTTATAAGGTACAGAAACTAAAGCAAAGCTCTAGTTTTCAAGCTACTTAAAAATTCATTTGGACAGAGAAGCTAGGTTTCTTATGCAAATGTTTCTTTGTTGTGGAAAGTTATTAATTGTAAGTGAAACACTAAAAGCATTTCACTTAGCATTTCTTTTTATTTAGCTTACAGATTGTTTTCTCCTTTTCTTTCCTCTTCCTCTTTCTTCTTTGACAGTTTGATGCATATATAGTAAATTTTGGTCATTTTCACTCACCATTACTCTTCTCCCACTGACTCTCTTTTTCTCAACAACCTCCCCCTCAACTTCTTACTTGTTTTCTGACCAGTTATGTTTACTTAGAATTACTTGTTTGAGTGTGGTGTAGAATTATTTTCTGAAGCACGGACAACTTATCAGTAGATTCATAACTGAAGAAAATGACACCTCTTCCCCTAGCAATCATTAACTATCCCTAGATCCTGTCCATATATGGATTTTACTTGATACCCTAGTCTTTTGCATAAAAATAAAGTTAACATTGCTTTACTTATTATTTAATAAATTTAGTTTTGATTTATTATTTATTTATTATTGATTGATTAATTGAGATGAATCTCACTCTGTAAGCCTAGGCAGCATGGAACTCACTGTGTAGTACAGAGTGCCTTCAAATTCTTGGTGGTCCTGCTGCTCAGACTTTCAAGTGGTGGAGTTATAGGCATGTGCCACCACACCTGGATGCAAGAGCTTTTTCTTCTCATTTAGGTTATTCCTCGGTCTGTGACAGACAGAGGAAGGCCACACCTCCCTCCCTTCCAGAGAGTAGTAAAGAAGCATGGAAGCTGGAGCGAGAGCATGTTCATCATGTCTATGATTTGATTGCAAGACACTTCAGCAGCACAAGGCACAGCCCATGGCCACGCATCGTGGAATTCCTGAAAGCTTTGCCAAGTGGTTCTATAGTGGCAGATATTGGATGTGGAAATGGAAAGTACCTTGGCATCAGCAAGGAGTTATATATGGCAAGTAACTCCTGCTCCTGTTTTTTTAATTTGAAAAATATGGGGGGCGGTTCATACATGTGTACTGTATTTAACATCATTTTCATTCCTTCCTCTCCCAATTTCTTTTTTTTTTTTGGTTTTTCGAGACAGGGTTTCTCTGTGTAGCTTTGCGCCTTTCCTGGAACTCGCTTTGGAGACCAGGCTGGCCTCGAACTCACAGAGATCCGCCTGGCTCTGCCTCCCGAGTGCTGGGATTAAAGGCGTGCGCCACCACCGCCCGGCTTTCCTCTCCCAATTTCAGTTCCACCTATGTTTCCTTCCCTCTTTAGTTTATGACCTCTTATTGCCACATAAATATTTATATGTATATATAAATACAGCCTGCTGAGTCAATTTATTATTGCATGTGTGTGTTTATTTGTGTTTGTGTGTATATATGTGTATGTGTGTGTGTTTAGGGATGACATTTTGGGATTACATAACCTACGAGGGGCACTCCTCCTTGAAGAAGACTGATTCTCCCTCTCTCAATAGTCACTAATTGCCCATAGCTCTTCATGCAGGAGTGGGGCCTTGTGAAATTTCTCCCATCCACATTAACATGTCAGGTGTGTTGTCATTGTTCAGGTCTAGCCATATTTAGGCAGCCATATTGTTGAAATTCCATGAGTGCAGCTTCCCTGTCATATATAGAAGATGCTGTATTACAGCGGATGTCCTGTTCCTCTGGCTCTTAGAGTCTTTCTGCCTTCTTCCACAATTTTTCTGCTTTGTGCATCTGTTTTAACTTTCCCCTGTTAGGATGCCTCACTATAGAAATCCTCTCCAAAAATTCCTTTCTAATCTATAGTTTATAATCATGAAATAGTTTATTGATGATCACATTACAAAGTAAAACCTAAAGACGGGAAAAAGTTGCAAAGAATATAATGCTCACAAATATCTAGGCACATGAAAAAGAATTGGAGGAGTCTTGGGATGATACCGCAGTAGATAAAATGCTTGCCACAGAAGCATGAGAACCTGAGTTCAGTCCCTAAGCACCCACATAAAAAGCTGGGTATGGTAGAATATGATTGTGATCCCAGTGCTGGGGACAGTGACATGGTTCCTCAGGCTCAGTAACCAAGCAGCCTAGCTTAATCAGTGAGCCCCAAGTTCATTGAGAGATTTTTTCTTAAAAAACAAGATGGGCAATTCTTGAGGAATGACCCCTGAGGCTGACCTGTTGTCTTCATACTTACATGAACACATGCACACTTACCCACATGTGAACATACAGACGCATGCACACACACACACACACACACACACACACACACACACACACTTAAAAGGAAAAAATATTTGACATGTTTCTTAACTTTTAGTCTGCTGTGGCCTAAATAACAGTATATACTATGACAAGGAACCACTACATGGAAAGCACAAAAATAGAAACAGTAAAGTCTAGTTCCAAACTATCAGCTATAAGTATACCTCTTGCACTTCATCAAAGATGCTTTTTTTGCAGCAGATGGAGACTATTACAGAAAGCCACTAATCAAAATGCCAAGAACAACTGATGATGAGTTGTTGAATGGCAACTGATCCATCTTCAGCACAGCCACTACACCTGAATAATAGAGACTTGTTCCTGTGCCTTCTGGGTCTAAACCTAGTGCTCATTTGTTTTAAGTACCACCTCATAGATTTAAAATTTTACCAAATTTACTATGTCAGATCCAGTACTAAAGCTGTTTCTAGTTCTGCAAGTGTTTGCTTTCTTTTGTTATCATTTCTTTCTTTGAGCCACTTTTTGTCTTCTTGCTGTGTGAAGAAAGTTCTTTGTGTGGTAGACTTTGATGTAAATATTCATCACTGCTCTGTGATGACTAGAATTTTTGTTTCTCAAGCTTGGGAGTGAAGAATGGAAGGAGAAAGGAAGAGGGAGGGAAGGGAGAGAGTGAGAAAATGAATGAGTCAGTCTATATTCAAGTTATTGAAATATCTCAGATTGCTTACAATCTTAGCTTCCTTCCCCACCCTTGATACTTTGTACTGACACAAAGGAACAACTACTACTTCAGTTAAGGGAAGGTAGAGCTGACAATAAGGAACAGATGCAAAGTAGCTTTTCATCTAGACACAATGTGAAATCCATGGATTGTTGTCATGTATATAGTTCAATTTTAGTTTGTGAATAGCCTACTAATTTTGCTCACATTGAAGAAATAGGTTTTTGATGTGTCACATAAAATTCCATCCCACAGTTCAAAATAAGATAAACCAGATTTGATGATACATGTCTATAATCTCAGTTCTTGAGGGGCACTTGGGCTACTTCAAAAGCAAAGAAACTGAAAAACAAAACACAGAAAACAACGTGTTATATATAGCCTTGGCCACCCTGGAACTTGCTATGTAGATCAGGCTGGCATCAAATTCACAGAGATCTCTCTGCTTCTGCCTCTTCAGTGCTAGGATCAAAGGTGTGTGCCACCATGCTTGCAGGATGTTAACTTCTTAAAAACTTCTTCACAAATGTTTCAGAATAGACTGTGCTTTGTGACAAAAAAAGAAAGAGGAAGAAGACACAAATTTATAAAAATGAAGATTAAGTATCATGTGGTATCATTCACCACATACTCCAATGATTACAGAATGTTATTAGAAATTAGTTTGAAAATTGATAGTCTAAAGAACTGGAAAACCTAGATGAAGTAGAATTTCTTGTTGCATGACTTACTGACTTGTAATGTGGTTGTTTGCTTATGTATATGAAGCATATGTGAGTAGTCTAAGGTATGAAATAAACCTCTTGTGATATGTAAACTAAATGTTACAAATTGCTTTCCCTATAACAGATTGGATGTGATCGTAGCCAGAACCTTGTGGACATTTGTAGAGAGAGGCAGTTTCAGGCCTTAGTCTGTGATGCACTGTCAGTTCCATTCCGAAGTGGGTCTTTCGATGCTTGCATCTCCATTGCTGTCATTCACCATTTTTCAACTGTGGTGAGTATTGCTTCTCCCTCTGTAAAAGCTTGTAACTAAAGTGGCAGAAAAAGTTTGTGTGTATGTGACTCAGTATAAGCCTTTCCTTAAATTTTTTTCTTTTATTTTTCTAGTTTTTGTCATGGTTTCAACACGAAGTATCCTCCAAAAGTAAATAAAAAAGGCTCATGTGTTGAAGGCTTGGCCCCAAGCTGGTGGCTGTATTGGAAGGTGACTGGGTCATGAGGGTGCTAACTCCATCAATGTGTTAACTCATTGATTACTTTATGCTGCATAGACTATGAGGAGGTGGGGCCTGATTTGAAGTAAGGAGCTCACCAGTAGAGTGACTTTGAATGGCATTCTTTTCCTGGTCCCCTTCTATCTGCTGCCTGGCTGCCATCAGGTGAGCCAGGATGCCCCCTTCTCTAATGAGTCCATCATAGCCCTAGGAACAAGAAGCCAGTGGCCATGGAGTGAAACCTGAAAGTCTGTGAGCTAAAATACATCTCCATTTTACATTGCTTTCCTCAGGCATTTCACCACAGTGACAAAAACTGATAAAAGTTCTCTTTGATTACTTACCTCATAGCCATACTGTAGTTTTTAGTCTTTGGTTATTTTTAGTGGTTACCATGGCACCCAATATGTACCCATGACCTTAGTCTACCTTGAGTTGTTATGCTTAGCCCTTCTAGCAATGTAAGACATCAGAACGCCACTTAGCTCCTCTGACTTCCACTGTGGTATTGTTTTATATTAGTTTTGTTGTTTTAAGCTCTTGATTTTTTTTTGTACTTTTCAATATTTACTCTTTCTAGTCTTCCTTCTTAGAAGCACTTTTAAAGGTTTCTGAAAGACTAGCTTTCTTTTGCTTGAAGAATTCTCTTTGCTATATTTTTTTAAGTATTTATTTATTTAGGCACTAAGTATTTAAATATTGGTACCACATCCTCTTTTTGTGTCATTAAACTCTATTTAAAACAATATTATTTTGACTATAATTTGAATTCTAAATTGATAATATGTTCTACATTTTGCTACCCTTTTTAAGATTTCTGCTTCATTCTTGGTGATTTATGCTGGCTTGAATTCTAGATCAATTCTCTGTGGAGATATATGTAATTTACTATGAAATTAATGTGTTTTGTACTATTCTAGAATTTATTTTATATCTTCATTGAAATTTTTTTCTAGTTTTATGGACGTATTAGCTTAGTTTAAAGTCCTTTTGGTTTTATTCATTCATTTTTTAAAAGGAAAAAAAAAGTCCTTTCTTGTTTTATTCTTGACTGGACACAGGATAATAGTTGTTTTAACATGTTAATTTATAATCTAAGTCATTGCAAAGTAATTGAAATGGTGATATATCAAATTTTTAATTTTATTTGCATTTACTTACTTTAGAGTGAATGTGTGTATGTAGGTGTTGATGTGAGTGTCCACTTGCCATGGGGTACATGTGTAGGTCAGAGAATAGTTTTGAGATTAAATTCTCTCCTTCCAACATATGGATTCTGGGAATTGAATTCAGGTCATCTGAAGTGTAAATCTAATTAATCTTATCAATAAAAACCAGGAGTCAGATATCAGGGTAAACACTTCAAAGATCAAAGAAGCAGGAGAGCAGCCACAGTTTCTGATCATCCAGTCCAAAAAGCCTGAGACCTGTCTCCACCCCACCTTATCACTTCCTGTCTCCTCTCTGTATAGACCTCCAGACGTCTGTGGTTATCTAGTGGCTAGCTCCACCCTTTGACTCCAAGCAAGCTTTATTTGTCAGAATACAAGCAAAAATCACACAACATTCCCCCTTTTTATCTAAATAAAAAGTGAAAGTTTTAACTAACATAGAAAAACTATATAAAATAAGTACAATAATTATATACAAATATATACAGGCAATAATTATGTTAACAATGTCTAATCCTTTTGCATTTGACAAATTCAGAGAAAATACTCCATTATCTATCCTATTTTGGTGAGTCCAAAGTGTTGTACCTAATTGACTTTCTATCCTAACTTTCATTACCCACCCCAAACTATCTTTTTATGTTTCACAACCTTATACACTTTATACCTCTTTAGTGAGTTTCTTTTCTGAATTTGGTAACAAGGAAAACTACAACTATAACAATCTTGTCGTCAACTCCATCAGAAACATGAGAAGGATTTAATATTACCTGAGTAAACAGGATGTGCACAGCAAACAACTTCTAAAACTAAGAAATGACAGAAACAGCTGGCTGCCTGGACAGTCACCCAAGGTACCTCTGTAATGCTGGGGCATTCATCTATAGCGTATAGGCCTAGAATATCTGACAGACTTTTCTGTGAAGCAGGATTTTTGAAGGAGTGTCCCACTTTGTCATGGTGAAATTCAACAGTCACTTTCTTTGCTATCCTGCTTGTTCAGTTTCAACAGCATACTGTCAGCAGTTGAGGCAAGGGCAGTTTCTTGCCCAGTTGCTAACTTTTGCCACAAAGAAGTAAACTCCATATGGGATTTTTTCAATGCCCATCATCTTCTCTGAAGTAGATTGATGCTGCCAGGAGCAGACATGCCTCATTGTCTTTAAAAAAAAAAAAAAAGAGCAACAAAAAAACTTATGTTATTAAATCATCTGAAATGCCATATTCTGTAGATCTCTAAAGTGTTTGAAGACCACTTGCCTATCTAAAATATATCTCTGCTTGACTTTGAAAACATACCTAACCTGACTACAAGTTTGATTGTAATAGGTGACTACTAATCTGTATTTCTTCATTATCCTAAATAGTTTGTAATAATAGCATTCAAGGACTAGAAATTTATATGACATTCTTAAATGAGCTGTATAGGCATAATACCTTGAACAAAAGTAGAAATATGTGTATAGTATATTCTAGCAAAAATAACCTTAAATTTGTATCAATATATAAAAATATCTTAAGAGTAAAAACATATATACAGTATAACAAAAATAACCTCAAATTTGTATCATTGTACAAAAATCCTTATCAATGTAAAATATTTAAAACTAGTAGTTTTTTTTTTTTTTGGTTTAAAAGTAGATTCAGTAATCTACCTTTTTATCCTATCATTTATATAACATATATACAGTATAACAAAAATAACCTCAGATTTGTATCAATATACAAAAACCCAAGCCAATGTAAAATATTTAAAACTAGGAGTTGCTTTTTTGGTTTAAAAGTAGATTCAATAATCTACCTTTTTATCCTATCATTTCTGTATTCCCCTTTTTTCAGAACAAGATCTCTGAATCTAATCTTCTTTGTTCTGCTTTTTTTTTTAACCATTACTAATAACAACTTGTATCCTACCCCCCTAAACCATGTCAAATGTCCATAACCTACTGAGTAACCAAAAACCATCTGCTCTGTAGCTGGAGAGTTTCTCTCAAGCTCCCACCAAGCCCCACCAGTCCCGGAGCCCACTTATAAAATAAACATACAGACTCTTATATTATTTAAACTGCTCGACCATTAGCTCAGGCCTACCATTGTCTAGCTCTTACTCTTATACTAAGCCCAGTTTTGTTAATCTGTATGTCGCCATGTGTTCTGTGCCTTTACCTGTTGCCTCTACATGATGCTTCCTGGACATCAGCTGGTGTTTCTCCCCCCTGCCTTCCTGTCCTTTTTTCTCTCCTCTCTAGTCCCACCTATACTTCCTGCCTGGGTACTGGCCAATCAGTGTTTTATTTATCAAATAATCATCCACAGCACTTTCCCTTTTTCTTTCTTTTCTTTTTTTTAAAGGAAGGTTTTAACTTTAACATAGTAAAATTACATAAAACAACAATTATCAAGCAAAAATTACAGTTACAATATTAAAGAAGATATCTATCTTATATTTGTGAGTCTAAGGTTTTATGTCTAACTTATCTTTTATCATAACTGAGGAAATTATAACTAGTCTTTAACTACATCAAAGACCTCAGAAGGATATAATATTATCTGAGAAATGGGAGGAGGATGTAAGCAACTTTCGGGAGTCTTTTAGGGTAGACAGAGACAGCTGGCAGTCTGGACAGTCATTCAAAGTTCTCTTGTAAAGTTGGGGCATCTGTCTTCAGCCCACAGGGCTAGAGTCTCTCAGTCATTTTTTTTTTTCTGTGTCCTGTAGAATGTCTGGCAGTTTCCTCTGTGAAGCAGGAACCTGAAGGACCATTTTGTCAAGCAAAGTTGAGTGGTCACCTTCCTATGGGTCCTGCATGTCCAGTTGATCAAGCAGTCCAGGCAAGAACAGTTTCTTGCCCAAATGGCTATTTTTGCCAAGGTGAAGATAAACTCCATATGGAATGTCTTCGATGCCCATCCTCCTCTCTGAAGTAAATAGGTGCTGCCAGGAGCAGACATGTCTCACTGTCCAGAAAGTCTAAATTTTTAAAACATTTTAAATGCTATATTCTGTAGGCCTTTGAAGTATTTGAAGATTATCTATCTATCTGAAATATATCTATGTATACCTAGAATACTTAACTAACATGCTATAAGTTTGACTATCATAGAAGACTAATTATTAATCTGTATTTCTTAATTATCCTTTACAATCTAAATGAGTTACATAAACATAATACCTTAAACAAGAATATATATATATATATATATATATATATATATATATATATATATATATATATAGAGAGAGAGAGAGAGAGAGAGAGAGAGAGTATAACAAAATTAAGTTTAAACTTGTATCAGTAGACTAAAATCTATACCAATGTAAAACATTTTAAACATAAACTAAAATCTATACCAATGTAAAACATTTTAAACAAGTTGTTGCTCTTTAAAAGTAGATTCATTAATTTACCCTTTCATCCTATCATCTCTGTATCCTATATATCTATATCATATCCCCTTTCTTCTTTAGAAAGAGGTTGCATTTATAATCAACCTGTTTTAAATAAAAATATTGGTTTTTCTCTGTCCCACACCAGAGGGATCTTCTGATTTAGGGCACAAGAATCTCTTAACCATTTTTTTTAAAGTAATATGCCTGGGTTTAGAGA